GGGGAGGAACAAGTGAGAGAAAGTCTGAAAACTAGACATAAGGATAAAGGAATAAATATTTTAGATTATTTTTACTAGCAAATGAAACTTTACTTTGTCCCAGTCTTTTCCCCAAAGAGTACATGAAATTCTTGCCTTGTCATAGTTGGCCTGCTTAGATGTCAGGAACTTTGAGTTGTACAATTGCTGGAGATAGACAGAACCCTGGTGCTAAAAACCTGTAGGAACTAGATCTGTGTGCAAGGATGGGCATGCCGTGTCGTCCTTCCCTCTCCCCTTTACACCATCTGTCTCAGTCTTCATAGTGTTGGCAGAAAAAGCTGCTATATTTTCTCACCTTCTGTATTTTATCCCTTGTCTCTCTATTACACCCTTGTTTCTGTCTTTTTTGCTGTGTCCTATGACCCACACAACTACTTTAGGCCTTTGTGCTTTCTCTGTAAGGTCACACGTTGTAAAGGAGGCCTTGGACCTGGGCTTGAGTTTGCTTTGGCCTAGAGATATTCTTGGGTAATCCTGGCACATAATCGAAAGTTCAAGATACAGTAGAAATTCTGTAAGTGGGCTTTGGAGCCAGATAGTTCTGGGCTGAAATCCAGCTCTGCCATTGGGTTTGTGACCTTGGGTAGGTTAAGTATCCCTTATCCCAAAATGTTGGGGACCAGAAATGTTTCAAATTTTACATTTTTCAGGGTTTTTTTTTTTTTTTTTTTTTGGAATGTTTTTGCCTTAGGGTATATGCTCTCAATGGAGAGAGAGAGACAGAAGTAATGAGACAGAAAGTGAGAAATCACTCCCCAGGGCGTATGGCCACGTTGTAATCCCTTCTCCATTCTCCCAGGATCTTGAACACACACACACACACCCGTGCCTGGTATGAATTTAAAGCCTCCGGGTTTGGTACTTGAAGTGTAGTTGGCCATGTAGGGAGTATGGTGACATAACCCCTATGCCATCTGCTGGTCCCAGATTTTGAATTTCATATGTATAATGAGATACCATGGGGAGGAGACCCAAGTCTGTTTTTTTCTGGGGGGGGAGAGGTTTTTGCTATAGTGCACGTACGCACGCCGAAAAGACAGAGACAGAAAGCGAGAAATCACCCACCCATGGGGCATGGCCACGCTGCAGTCTCTTCTCCATTCTCCTCTCGGGATCTTGGGCATGCATGCACACGTGCCCGGCGTGAGTTTAAGCCACTGGGTCTGGCACCCAAATCATGGTCAAGGGAGTCCAGGGACATAGCCATTACGCCAACTGCTCGTCCCAAGTCTTTTTTTTTTTTTTTTTTATGATTAGTTATTTAGGTTCTTGGCAAAAAATTTAGAACACCAATTTGTTAGGATAAACTCCATATATAAGGGCAAACATGGATCGTAAGTAGCCCCGGAGCTGAGGGAAAATTTGATTTTGCAAGTCCACAGTTTTCTGTTCAACCTTGCACTGCTCTGAAATCTTGTATTTCTTCTCTGCATTGAAGATTTCACCTTCCTGGTGTATGAGCTTCCATAGCTTCTTTTTCTTGGTGTAATGACTGGTAAGGTGTTTTGGGATTTTTTTACTTTGCTAATATCAATTTTCGTGGAGGGGCGATGACAAATTTCTGGTGTGTTCTACGCAGTGGAACTCGATTGAGGACCAGCGGTCCAGTTACAAGTAGTAAGCTGCTTTAAGAAAACCACTTTCTTGTCAGGAGGATGATCAGAATGGTCCCAGGAGTGATGCTAGCTCACAGCTTTCTCACATGCTGACTGAAGGATTTTTTACCGTTGCTCAACAGCTTTTGAGGCACATCTTTAGTAGGATAATACCTAGGCATTTTTCAAATTTTAGCCACCTGGGTACCACCATTCTTGTCTCCACCAACTTGTTTTATGACAGTGGCAAGAACTTCCTCTTTCTCTTCAATCCTGGATTTAGTGGCTGAGTATTTCTTCTTGTACATGGCCTTCCTGGAATACATGGCAGATTGGGGGTATCTGCTGATGCCCTGGAGTAGGACCAGGTTTTGGCTACAATGAGGCTTCCCCTTCTTGCGCTTATTTTTTAGCCTTGAGGATACCCTTTTTAACCTTGCCACTGGCATCAGCTTTCTTGGCTTCAGGTTTCTTTCTTTTCTTTCTCCATTTTTTTTTTTTTTTGTTATAAAGAATTGTTTTATTGGGGACCAGCAGTTAGCGTAATGGCCATGTCACTGGACTCCCATGTAGTCGACCACGGTTCACATCCCGGACCTGGTGGCTTAAAACTCACGCTGGGCGCGTGTGCGTGCGTGCCCAAGATCCCGGGAGGAGAATGGAGGAGAAGGGATTGCAGCGTGACCATCCCCCCCAGGGGGTGATTTCTCGCTTTCTTGTCTCTCTGTCTCTGTCTGTCTGACAAGCACACGCGCCCTATAGCGAAAACCTCTCAAAAAAAAAAAAAAGAAAAGAATTGTTTTATTTACATTTATTTCTTTTAATTCAACCAGAGAAGGACAGCGAGAGTGAGAGCAAGAGAGAAAGAAAGTGAGAAAGCAAGCCACCAGGTCCAGGACTCAAACCAAGATTGGCCACGTGGGAGGGAGTCCAGCACCCTTAACCACCATGCCACCTGCTGGTCCCTTGGTTTCAGATTTCTTCTTAGTATCCTGCTTTTCAGCTTTTTTTTTTTTTTTTTTTTTTTTTTTTTTTTTTTTTG